CGAAGGATTTCCAAGCTTCATTCTGAGCATAGGCGAGGAACTCTCTAGGGTAACCCAATCGATTTACCACAAGCGGAATGTTGCAAAAATAGGGGATCTCAGAAGAACACGTACCTGCATCCTTCCTGCCACGAACGATCGACTACGCATCCTGAGCAAGCAGAGAGATCAACAACGACAACTTAAACAGGTGAAACGTGCTTAAAGTCGTCGACTGTTGAAAGAAGGCGCTGAAATACGTCAGCCCGATGTTTCCTGCCTTCTTCTGCTGCTGCTGCTGCGGAGGGTGCGGTGCCAAGCCAGCCAGGAGGAGAAGATGGCGCGCAGCTTCAACACCTCATCAACTTCGCCCACCTAGGCGACATCCACACGAAAGGCGCATGGCCAGGCAATGTTGTTGCTCAGTCGAGCTGATGAGCAAGTCCGCGCGACAACGGCAGATGACACCTTCGAAGCTGGCGATTATCACTGGTAGGCATGCACTGGCGACAGCGCAGTTCATTGTCGCGTCTGCAAGTCACCACCATCACCACCACCACCAGATACTCCCCACCCCACGGCAAATTCTCAACATCGTCGCCAGGTTTTGATCGACAACCAAGCATACCCACCCAGAAGGCTTCAGAAAGTCAACGCACCATGATGTGACGGCGGCGGCGGTGGAACAGTCAAGACTTTCCGCCAACAGGAAGAGACGAGCAGCGTTCACAGTGGACCAACTATTGTGACGCGTAGGCGGTGCGTAGGCGTGCGCAGCCACGGCCTCCTCCACGATGCTAAGCTGCTGTGAGTATTCCCCCCCCCGCTCCCTAATTGCACATCTTACTCTTCTCCGAATCGGCTCCACTCTAGGCTGTCTCGTCTCGTCCATCCTGCGTAACGGTGCGCAGCGATTTCACGTCCATCTCGAGTCTAAGCATCCAGAAAGGCCAAACCATGTGCGAGCCGGGCAATCTGCGCAGACGCCGCAGTCCTTCGAAGCGGGCAAGGCTCTTTTGCTCACCAACTGCTGCTCCGACTACGCTGTCCTCTCGGTTCTTTCTCTCCTCCTCCTCCTACAACCAAAACGCCTGCTTTTGTCAACAACCAGGTGCGACCGAGCCGAGGCAAGGCCAATATCGCCCCAGCATTCCACTGCCACCTCCCCTACCCGAACTACCACAACTGCTGCCGCCACCACCCACGCCACTATTACCAAATGCTTTCACCAACCTCCACCACTGCTACTTCCCATTCTGCCACTACGGCTACTACTACTACCACCTCAACCCCCATCACCACCACCACTACTGCTACTACAACCACTAACACCAAAACCACAACTACCACTATTATTTTTGCAAAACTACCACGCCTAGAACTGCTACGACCAAAACTACTAATACCCAAACCACCACCCACATCCCCACTGCCTAAAATTCCACTTACTTCTACTCCTACCATCACCACCAGCGCGCCTTCTCCACCTCCATACTCTTGCACTATTCCAGTCCACCCCCCACTCCACTGCATTGCGTTGCCCAAAGAAAGGCGAAGCAGCTGTCACCGGCACACGGGAGCACTCACGAAGCCTCAATCCTTCCCAGTAGGTGGTGGTGTCTGTTTCCAAACAAACGTGGGGCAATACATTGGACCACACACCGGGCTCACAAATGTGCGGCTACTAGTGAGAATACGCCGCCTCTACCACACAAACTGATGCTATGCCGCTCTTTACCAAAAACTTAACTTTACCACGCCACGCCACAAAATTCAACCAAGTCATTGTGGCGTCTTGCCAAGCCTGTCATCTTCCCAAGGTACACCAACACTGCCAAGGCTACTTCAGGCATGCACGCCACACTGTCCAATTCAGTCGCTCACCAAGATCAAGAAGCAGAAGAAGAAGAATACGCTGAAGAAGACACAGCAAACCCATCCACCTAAACCACCTCATCACACTAACGAAAAATACCGCATACCATTATCCGGACAACCACCATCTGCACAACCGCACACCGGCCCAAACACCGTCACACTGAAGCCTCCTCCACTTTGTCCTCCACAACCTTCTCAATCAACAACCAATCAAATTGCTCGGCCAATTGCAGTCTCCCATTTGTGCATGAACAACCACTCACAGCCTGCGAACCACTGCGTGCGTGCGTGCGTGCGCCAATCACAGCGAAGCCAAGACAGCGTCGCAACTGCGTACCCGCACGCACCGCCGCACCTCCAGGCCCTTCACTCAGTCCGCCTTGGGATCGAAATTGTTTAGCACATCGCCTTCCAGCGACGCCGGGAACTAGGCCAAGGCCATATCGCTCTCATGAGACCACCACAGCCGCACTCCCACCCTTCCACCCATTCAGCCAGCCAGTCTGACTCAATACACTGTCCGCCTCTTTGTCCGTTGTTTTTGACGCATCGATTTCCTGTCAGTGCGAGGCCCCGACGCACTGACAAGACCGCTCCAGCCGCCGCTGTTACTGCACCCCACCCACACCCACCCAGCCTGCCAGTCGGCCAGCCAGCCAGCCGACCAGACCCAATACACACCTCCCCTTCAGAGTGAGTTGTTTTCGACACTTCGAACGCCGTCGGCCCCTACCCGCAGCCTGTCGGTCTCCAACTCATCATTAATGCAGGCCAAGTAAACAATTTTAGGTATTTTCGTCTAAAATTTTGTCAAGGTCAAACCATTTTGCTTAATTAATTTTAAAGCTAATTTTCGACGCCTTCTTGGTCTTATTTTAGCACCTATTCAAACGCGCTTTGATTCCAACTGGAGCAAACATTATTCGCCAATGAAGTAAGTGTACTTTAGGCACAGTATTTACCAATTTGGGGGTATTCCTCGTCGTCGTCCACTGCAAGTCGTTCTCACCTGCCACGCTGGTGGACAACGGTTCTACACTGCGCGTTTGCCGTCTTCGCTCCAGCTCCCTCCCTCCCTCCCTCCCACTCTCTCTCTAACCACCTAGACTTACTTTAGATTTTGCCAACTGCTTAAGAAGCCAATGGCCCTATAACTCTCCCCGGACTAATGCCAGTCTCGTAAGACCCCTCCCTCATAGCATTTACTTTCACTTGCCTCTACCACAGAGCCCGCCGCTAATAAAAAACACAAATCGACTCTCACCTAACTGGCCACTTTCAGAACTCTGCAAACCGAGACGTCAATGCGTGCCACCGAAGCCGAAATTGTCGCTGACTGTTGCAAAGAACTGGAGGAGGAGGCAGCGAAAGCGAGTGGGAAGATTAAAGGCCCTGTGGCAGAGTCCGCCACCACCAAACCCTCCGCCGTCGCCGCCGCCGCTGCGACCTCCAAGACGACGGTTGAGCGGTTTTTCGAGGACGATCGTCTCCCCAACGCCGTGGGTGATGGGGAGGATCGTGTTGTCGAGTTGACCGACTTGGCTAGGCGAGTCGCGGAGACACGGCGGATGCACTTTGATCCCGAAAAGCAAGCAGCCAATCCGCGTCTCTTCCTTCTGCCTGTCACCAATGAGAAGGGTGCGTTTCCGCAGCACACTTATCCCCTTTGTTTCCCCAGGCAGCTTTGGCGTGTTGGTTCTTGATCCAAACCCTAGTAGTCTTAAATACGTTAAATGTATTTAACTTTAGACCACATCCTGGCCTGTGAGTATCGTTTAGAGGCGTGCCTTTTGTCTACCCAACAGCTTTCTCGCCTGACAGGTGAAGTCCCGTTTGGCTGTCCGTCGTACCTGCAGTGCGCCCACCTGCTCCAGGAAGCGATCTTCTCAACGCCGCGTCAGCACATGATGCCCGACCTCACCGAGATCCGATGGTTCGAGTTCGCGCGCCAAACCTGGCAGAGTATTGCAACCTCCCCCCTCTTTATCGACTATTACCGTCTTTGGATGAATAATACCTTGTAGTGGATCTCCACCGACAGGCTTATTTCTCGTTATTAGTACACACTCTACCCACCATCAACAACGCTGACGCATCGGCCTTGAGAGTCAATCACCGCTGTAAGGTCACTTATCAAACTAGCTACAGGTCCAGAGGCCGTTTTTTATGGATGACGTGATTGCACGCTTAATAACATCCGCCAGTGCCTTCAGATTTAGGCCTATTATTAGGAAAAACGCCCGTTTACCCACTTAAACAAGCACGATGGAACACGAGCCTTTGACGCCCCAAGTACTCACGAACTTAGAAATGCAGAAAATTGTAAAATCATTCACCAAATCACAAAATAGCGTCCTCTTGTACAAGACATGTGCATGCACATGTACGGTGATCATATCCACGGACTGCCTGAGCCACTATCGTCATCCGGCCGCCAATCGAATGCCTCCGCGTCAACGATTGGCTGGAAAGAGTGCAAGTCATGCAGGGCAGTTGAGGGTCCAGGATGGTTGTCGGCTTCTCCCGGTGTCCGCCTTGTTTGTTGTGCTTGCACTCGCTTGGACATTGCAGCGTCGAACTCACTGGCTTCTAGAAGACCGGGTTGGCCAGTGACGAAAAGAGGTCGACAGTCAGCGTCCAGAAAAACCATCTGAAATCTGAAAGGGAAGTGCTTCACGTCGAAACGGAACGTCATCCACCTTGCAGTTGAATGAGCAAACGTCTTGCGATTATGATTGTGATTAAGACTAGCTGGTCGTGCCTGGGGGGCCGGCGCACAGTTCAGTTAACAAGCAACGGACATGACTGGAAGAGCTGTCAAGAAAATAATCAAAAGCGTGCACGAATCGGACTACGATTCCGGCGACCAAGCAATTCTTTCCTTCGATCCGCTAGGCCGATTGGTACGGCGCTGTAACATGCCTCGGCTGATCTAATCAAGATTACAGGATAGACGCATCATCCTGATGTCCGCTTGCTTGTTTTGCAACACTCGAGGTCTTTTATGGTTCAACTAATCACAGAAAAACGCGCCGCAGTTTGTCG